CACAAGAAATTGCTACACAGAAACAATATTTGGAAACATTAAGATGACAAACTAAGGATTTAGAACTGAAGTGCAATCTGTTTTACTGTGTTGTCATTACTGCAATGCTGATTATGAAAAAAAGTAAATCTGACAGTGTGGCTCTTGACTTTAGCTCAGCCCTACGCTAAGAAAAATATCAGAAGATCTCATTTTTAAGATTTGCAAACATTACACTAAACAAAACCATGCAACTTACAGTAACAGAGGGGAAAAAAAAAATCAACTTTCACACTTCAGTCACTGTGGCTAGATTCTGTATCTACGGCACTGTCTAGAATGCAATAAAGAGGGCTTCTTTTACAGTATTCGAGACTTGTGATGTCAAAGAGTTCTTGAAAACAGAAAGCTCTATTCAACTCTTAGTTCACAGGAAGGCAACTAAAGTCTAAGCAGAAAGATTCAGGTACGCATGCATAGATATTTTCTACACATTTTTAGACCTATAAAGTTTCCAATAATTTTTTCTTTAAAATAACTGGCAACTCCTATAGCGGACAGACAGCATTACGTACAATAAAAGTGGTCTTACTGACCTGACAGACTGAAGTTAGAAATAGTATCCAGTACATGTGAACTTCCCCACCCAAAGCAGTGTGTTAACAACCCACACTATTAAGAGTGACCAAAAATGAATGCCAGAAGACACCTAGTGAAACTATTTATAAAGCTGAGGTTTTGGGGGTTTTGTTACTATGTATTTTCATGTGTGTTTTTGCACAAAATAGAAAGACCTAGGTATTTTGTAAATGTTCTGCTTTACTCTGACTGTATGAAGAATTGTTGTCAAATGCAGAATTTTCATATTTGTTTGGTCCTTTCACACAGCAATGAGGGAGAGGACAACATTAAAGACAGCATAATATGGCAGGAAACCTAGGGACAGTATCTAAAGCTACTTTTTTTTTTTTTTTTTTTAAAGGAGCTTACGTTTTGAGTGTGGGCCCCTTTAAAAGTCTGTCAATTCCACTTCATGCATGTTGGTATACTAAATGCCAAATTCTCTGTTTTAAAGTTAACTATTTTTCCCCATAGTCATTTACTACTATTTCTCAACTTCAATACAACACAAAAACAGTAGCATTGAGTACACTGGGCAGCCAACACAAAAAGAAAGAGGAAAGGGTGATGAGTGTTTGAAACAGTTTCTCTATATATATATATCTTTTCTTGAGACATTCAAAAATTAAATATTTAACCCTGCTGTTTTCAGTATGGTCCTCTGAACTCAAAAGCCAGGAATCATTACATATGATGTTTGGAAAGAGGAAGCCTTTGCACAACTGGCTACAGACACTATGTGCAACAACTTAATATTTAAGTATGAGATTCTCTTTCATACATAGAATTGTTTAAACCTTTGTATAATCTATTAGAAAAGTTAACCCCAAATGTAGTCTACTTTAATGTCTGAGACACTGACTGTTCCTAATATGTTCATACATTCACCTCCTGCAAAAGAAGCTCACCTAAACACTTAAGGGGGGTGGGGAGGAGAGAAAAGTGTCAGGTTTTCTCCTAATGACTTGTTTTGACTTTCCTCCTTCCTCTGGGTTAGGAAATAACTGTAGCTATCATTTATATTAAACTTATCCCTGTGGCTGGATATGACAGGTTCACAAAATGTAGTTTACTAATTTAACCGCTTTAACTTTAAATGAAATTAGTGTTTGGGTGGCTTCTGTAATAACCTCATTGTAAAAGAGAAGAACCATTCTGACAATGTTTAAAAAAACAGTAACAGATAACATTAACACTGTGGCAAGGGAGTAATAGTTATACAAGTAACATGGTCTGCCTCCTCCCTTTGCAAGCACTGGCTCAAACTTTTTTAGTGGTGACCCCTTTCACATAGCAAGCCTCTGAGTGCGACCCCCCCTTATAAATTAAAAATGCCTTTTTATATATTTAATACCATTATACATGCTGGAGGCAAAGCGGGATTTGGGGTGGAGGTTGACAGCTTGCGACCCCCCATGTAATAACCTCATGACCCCCTGAGGGGTCCCGACTCCCAGTTTGAGAACCCCTGGTATTAGCCAATCTGTGCCATAAGTATTCCCTAGGTCTAGGAAATCAAAGTATCAAGTCTGACATGAAGCGGCCTCCTTTGTCCTTACCCTACAATCTTTGTACATACTTAACCCCATATCTTAGCTTAATCCACTAGAGAGCTTTAGGTGTCACACCAGGGCATCTGACCATGTTTAAATAAGAATACAAGCCTGGAAAAAAAAAAGTTTAGTGTTTCTCCCTTTATGGCTTGTAAACGTGGTCTCAATTTGGTTTTCACACACACAAACTGAATTTCTAGTCTGCTCTATTTTTTCCAGAAAGGCTATGGAGAATTGGAGAAGTACCAAGTATCAAGGAAGTGAAACATGAAGCGGCGAGTGAAAAGGAGAAGGATTTTTATTCAAATTCTTTTTTGTTTAGAGACCTCTGTGACAGGTTGGATCACAGAAACCCTGCCAACTGATGTGCCAAGACTACTTCTGCCCCTGCTTTCCCTGCCATCTTGGGACTCCAGCACCCTGTCTTGTTGAGCCAGACACGCCAGTCTGCTCCAACACAGATCCAGGGTCTGAACCACGTGCCCCAAAGCTGCAGACTTAACTGAAAGCAACTTAAGTGTTCCTGTCTTTAACACTCAGATGCCCAACTCCCAATGGGGTCCAAACCCCAAATAAATCCGTTTTATCTTGGATAAAGCTTATACAAGGTAAACTCATAACTGTTCGCCCTCTATACCACTGATAGAGAGAGATGCACAGCTGTTCCTCCCCTTTCCCAACCCCCCGTATTAATACATACTCTGGATTAAATAATAAATAAGTGATTTTATTAAATACAGAAAGGAGGATTTAAGTGGTTCCAAGTAGTAGCAGACAGAACAAAGTGAATTACCAAGCAAAATAAAATAGAATACACCAGTTTCTTACTGTATTAGACCGACTTAACACAGATAAAATCTCACCTTCAGAGATGTTTCAATAAGTTTCTTTCCCAGACTGGATGCCTTCCTAGTCTGGGCACAATCCTTTCCCCTGGTACAGCCCTTGTTCCAGCTCAGGTGGTAGCTAGGGCATTTCTCATGACTGTAGCCCCCTTTGTTCTGTTCCACCCCATTATATAGCTTTGGCACAAGGCAGGAATCTTTTGTCTCTCTGGGTCCCCACCGCACCCTTCTAAATGGAAAAGCACCAGGTTAAAGATGGATTCCAGTTCAGGTGACATGATCACGTCACTGTAAGACTTCATTACCCACTTGCTAGCACACAGGTATATAGGAAGACTTACAAGCCATCTACAGACAATTGTCCAGGTTAATGGGAGCCATCAAGATTGCAAACCACCATTAATGGCCCACACTTTGCATAATTATGATAGGCCCTCAGAGTTATATTTCATATTTCTAGTTTCAGATACAATGATACATTCATACAAATAGGATGAATACACTCAGTAGATTATAAATTTTGTAATACCTGACAAGAGACCTTTTGCATGACGCGTATTCCAGTTACATTATAGTCACACTCATTAGCATATTTTCATAAAATCCATATAGAGTGCAACATCACAACCTCTCTCTCAATGGCCTCTCAACCAGCTGGAGGAGAATCCTTAGCAAAGATCCTGCCACTTTATGAGCCGAACGCCTCTCAGCCTCCAAAACAACTTCCAGAAAATAAAAGGAAGAAGTGTCAGGAATATAAAATACTGCCTAAGAGACTACAACATGCAAGTTTTAAAAAAGCCTTCTACACATCCTTGACACATCATAATAGCTAGGGCCTGATGAAGTTTAGCTATGCATGGGTAAAGAGGCATTTAAGTCAAGGAGGCTGTTTGGTTCTGTAGCTGCTGTTGAATTTTATTTGTTTTTCTAACTTGTGTCTGGAGTGCCCCAGGACATCCACCCCCTTTTAATTATGGTTAGAAAGCCAAGGGATTAATAGAAATAAAGATACAAACTCAGTTCTGCCCTGTCTGCCACTACTTCACATGTAGCTCACAGTCACCATCTAACTTAGTGCCAAAAAAGGAGTAAACTACCAATGAAACAGGAGAGAGAAAAAGCAGCCTCATCCTACTATAATATGTTTTACATGAATTACACCTTACATTGAAGGCTGGCAGAATGTGGCTGCCCAACTAGTAAGCAGTACCTTGCAAAACAGGGTAGTTTGCCCCAGTTGCCTGTTACATTCCACCCTAAAACAAATGGGTTGGTTTTAAACTTTGAATTTATAAGTCCTTAATGGCATATAATGGGCTGGGACGTTGCTACATTAGACTGAATCTTTCCATAAGTGACACCACCTAATTTGCGGTTAGTGCAGATACTCCACCGACAAAGCTTCCTGTTTCTACGGGCTGCGGGCAGGGCATTCTCCATGGGAGGTCCTCAGCTCTGAAATTCATTTCTCACCCTTTGGTGAAATGCTAGAGATTAGGTCTCCTAGCATTCAGGGTATGCTACCACTTCGTGGCAAGTATAAAAACAAGAAACGGAACTGGAAGATAGAATTTAGTACTATCTGCCCAGGATGGGGAAAGCGCCCCACGGGAGACTGCACAGAGAATTTTTTTTTATTATTTAAAAAAAACCACAACACCAGTCAACACTACTGCACAGGGTGTTTGTTAGCTGTAGCCTGAGGGGGCAGTTTGGAGGGGGGGCGTTATAATTTAGCTTTCTAGAGTGCCCAGGGGTCAGCAGCGGCACCTCAACCAAATCTAAAACAAAACCCAACCCACCCGAGGGGAAAGACAAGGGGGGGGGGGGAATAGCTATGGCAGAGCCCCACGGGAGCGACGCCTGAGCCGCCGCCACGCCAGGGTGCGGGAGCCGGGAGGAGAACAGCTCGCCAGGCTGGGGGGCTGCGGCGGAGGCTCTGCCAAAGGGAGGGCCCGTCCTGGGGGCTGCTGCGGGGAAGAAGGGGGTGGGGCGGTACCTTGGCTCGCTGGTCCCAGCTGTACTGCGGCGGCGGCTTCTCCTCGTCCGCGGCCGGGGGGTCCTGGCCCGCGCCGCCCTGCGCGCCCCCCTTCGCCTCTTTCCGCCTCTTGGAGAAGAAGCAGCCCATGGCCCCGCCGCGCGCCCGCCCGGAGGCGCCTCCCGACAGCCAGGCACCCCCCCGCCGCGCGCCGCACCGACGCAGCCACCCCGCCCTGGCCTCTCCCCGCGCGCCGCTGCTTCCGACTTCTCCCACACCCGTCTCCCTTGGATACCGCGGCCCCGCCCCCTCCACCTGCACCCAATGGCGGCTCGGCTCCGCTAATCAGCCTCGCCGGCCGCGAGAGCGCCGCGCTCGAGACGCTTTTAAAGAGACAGGCGCCGTGTTTTGCCTGGCCCCGCCTCCTGCCCTGCCCCTGCTGGGGGAAAGAGGGAAGCAAAAAAATAAACACTTTCCCTCCCTCTTCTTCTGTGCCCGCCCCCGCCTCTTTCGTTAGTTCCCATCTGGCAGCTTTAAAGTTAAAAAAAATATTATTACAAGTTTGGCCCTGTTTATAACAACAACAAATAGCAGCAGCCCCCGGGGGATGTGCCACCGCCCTGTCGGTCAAAATAAATCCTGATTATTTTTCTTTTTGGAATTTTTAATTCTGGAATTTCATAGAAATGTCACCCAGCTTTAGGAGTCAGGGTTAAAAGCCTCAGCCAACCACCGGGCATCTGCAGCCACAGCAAAATGCCTGACCGAACCAGGTTGAAATGGGGCACCATTGATTGAAAACCCTTCAACACTTCTACAAACAGGACAGTGCACAGCAAGATCCATGGGGAGAGGAATTGTTCTGCAGTTGCCACCCCCTATAATATTTAGAATGAAGTTGCTGATTTAGGGTTCACTTCTTCAAGCTTTCTATGTTCATCAAGACTAAAACTTCCTTTAAAAAAAATAAAAACGCAGAATTTGTCCTAATCACCTGATTCCAGCGGCTGGGGCTCTAAGAAAAACACCAAATATCATAGGCTCACAATAAAATTCTGAGGGTTATCAGCACTGAGGAAATATAGCTGTGTGTGTTTTAGAGAGTTACCAACAATATATAGGGTGCCAGATTCTGCCTGGTGCTTATACACAGGTGCAGAGTGTGTGCACACGTATGTAGACATGCGTGGACACAATTCCTGTTTTTGTACTTAGGGGTGCACAGGGCTTACTTCCTCCCTATCCCCTTGAAGTCACACAGAGTGCCAAATGGGAAAGAGAAGCCAGGATCTAAGCCCTGGTCAAACCAGTTGCACAGGGAGTAAGCTGAACCCTCTAAGGGTATGTCTACACTACGAGAGTAGTTCGATTTTAGTTAAATCGAATATGTGCAATCGATATTAGAAAGTCGAACGTGTGTGTCTACACTAAGGACAGTAATTCGACTTTGTGAGTCCACACTAACGGGGCAAGCGTCGACATTGGAAGCGGTGCACTGTGGGCAGCTATCCCACAGTTCCCGCAGTCCCCGCTGCCCATTGGAATTCTGGGTCGATCCGCCAATGCCTTCTGGGTAAAAAAATGTGGCGAGGGTGCTTTTGGGTAACTGTCGTCATCCGTCAGTCACTACCGCCCTCCCTCCCTCCCTGAAAGCGCCGGCGGGAAATCAGTTCGCGCACTTTTTGATCAGTGACAGCGCGGACGCCACAGCACTGCGATCATGGATCCCGCTGCGACCATCGCTGCAGTTGTGGCCGTTCTCAACGCCTCGCAGCTTATCATACACCTTTCCCAGAGGCAGATGCAGAGAAATCAGGCGAGGAGGCTACGGCACCGCCGTGAGGGCCTGAAGTCGGAGAGTAGCACAGAGCTGTCAGAAACCACGAGCCCCAGCGCCCAGGACATCACGGTGGCAATGGGGCATGTGGATTTTGTTGAACGGCGATTCTGGGCCCGGGAAACAAGCACGGACTGGTGGGACCGCATAGTGCTTCAGGTCTGGGATGAATCCCAGTGGCTGCGAAACTTTCGCATGCGGAAGGGGACTTTCCTCGAACTTTGTGAGTTGCTGTCCCCTGCCCTGAAGCGCAAGGACACCCGCATGCGAGCAGCCCTGACTGTCCAGAAGCGAGTGGCCATAGCCCTCTGGAAGCTTGCAACGCCGGACAGCTACCGGTCAGTCGCGAACCACTTTGGCGTGGGCAAATCTACCGTGGGGGTTGTTGTCCTGCAAGTAGCCAAGGCAATCGTGAAGGTACTGCTGTCAAAGGTAGTGACCCTGGGAAACGCGCAGGCCATCATAGATGGCTTCGCAGCGATGGGATTCCCAAACTGCGGTGGGGCTATAGATGGGACTCACATCCCTATCCTGGGACCGGGCCACCAGGCCAGCCAGTACATCAACAGAAAGGGCTACTTTTCAATGGTGCTGCAAGCACTGGTGGACCATCGGGGACGTTTTACAAACATCAACGTCGGATGGCCGGGCAAGGTTCATGACGCTCGCGTGTTCAGGAACTCTGGTCTGTTTAGACGGCTGCAGGAAGGCATTTACTTCCCGGACCACAAGATAACTGTTGGGGATGTGGAGATGCCTACAGTGATCCTCGGGGACCCAGCCTACCCGCTAATGCCCTGGCTCATGAAGCCCTATACTGGCGCCCTGGACACTGCACAAGAACTCTTCAACTACCGGCTGAGCAAGTGCAGAATGGTCGTGGAGTGTGCTTTTGGCCGTCTCAAGGGGAGATGGAGAAGCTTACTGACTCGCTGTGATCTCAGCGAAACCAATATCCCCATCGTTATTGCAGCTTGCTGTGTGCTCCACAATCTCTGTGAGAGCAAGGGGGAGACCTTTATGGCAGGGTGGGAGGTTGAGGCAAATAGCCTGGCTGCTGATTACGCCCAGCCAGACAGCCGGGCGATTAGAAGAGCCCAGCGGGACGCGCTGTGCATCCGGGAGGCTTTGAAAGCCAGTTTCAAGACTGAGCAGGGTACCCAGTGACTTTTAAGTTTGTGGACACAGAAGCTGAACTTGCCCCCGTTTCTTTACCCGGTTGCCGTCGACTATCCTCTCCAGTTACATACCCCCTTCCCAAAAAATAAAATCTGTTCTGTTTTGTTAATGGACACCGTTGTCTTTATTACTGTTTTCGCGGGAATGTTTTAAACCTGGGACGCAGACTGTGGCATAAGATCTGTAACTGCCCTCCCCCGCCACAAAGTCACAGAGCAACCCCCCCTCCCCCCCAGGACAAGAAAACCACCTCCCAGACTGACCAGGGTAACTAGTCACTGCACTGTATATGTGCCCTGCTGCTGGACCTGCCCCCTGCTAAAGGTGACTGTCCTGTCCAATTACCAAGCCCCTTCCCCCCCTTCAGACAGACTCTCCTCCAAAAGAAGAGGATGGAAACAGTAATGAACAGAAACGTATTTTTTATTAACAACAGCACGTGGAACGGGGGGGTGAAACTTGGACGGGGTCTTGTGTGAGGCGGGTAGGAAAGGACTTTTCAAATTTTGGGGAATGAGAGCCTTCTAGTGGTAGAGCAGTCCGCAGGGGTGGAGTGAAATTTTTCACGGACCCTGCCGCCCCTCCGTGTTTGGACTTTGGGTGAGGGGGGTATGGGACTTGGTGGCGGGGCAGGGCAGTTAGAGAGAGACTGCAGCGGGGCTCTCTCCTCCTGCCTCCGGTCCTGCAGAACATCCACAAGGCGGCGGAGCGTGTCCGTTTGCTCCCTCATTAGTCCAAGCAGCGTTTGAGTAGCCTGCCAGTCCTCCTGTCGCCACCTCTCCTCCCGTTCCATGTTTGCCCGGTGCATTTGGGACAAGTTCTCCCTCCACTGTGTCTGCTGGGCTGCCTGTGCTCGGGAGCATCCCATTAGTTCAGCAAACATGTCTTCCCGTGTCCTCTTCTTCCTCCTCCTAATGTGCGCTAGCCTCTGGGCAGATGTGGCTGTGGGAATTGGAAAAAGGGAGTGAATTCCTGAGACAGATCAATGTATCTGTGAACAGAGAACATAGTCTTTCTCTGTGAACAAGACCATGCAGAGCACCTATCACACGCGCACTGAGGACAAGGTCGAATTTTCGGCCCTCGCGTACAGTGCCTGCGGTCTTGCTGTGGCGAGCTGAGGAGCGGGGCAGGACACCGGACTTTGTCTAGCTGGCAAACATGGTAAGCCGTAGACTTGGGGCTGCTTAAAACTTTAAGAGTGGCACTGGCCTCCTTTCACATAGAAAGCAATGCGAGTCTCTGCTGGCAGCAATCCTGCAAGCATGAACTCTGCCCCTGTCCCAGCCCCTCGCGGCTGTAAACCGCGTGGCTGTAAACCGGCGGTTGCAGTTCTGTAAAGGGACGGGCAAGCAGTCCCAATACTAACTTTCCCCTACCTAATTCACAGCAGGGAGTCATGCCAGACATCACCCTCCTGAAGGTCTCGGAGAGCCAGAAGGAGCGGATGCTTCGGGACAGCCTGCAGAAACCGGGGCCATTTGCTGCAATGCTCTGCAAGGCCATGATCCCCGAGTACCTGCTGGCGTTGTGGCAGGGAAACGTCTCATACCACGGGGGGCCTAATAAGCTCTCCCTGCCCAGGAACCTGCTCATGAGGCTTGAAAAACACCTGCAGGAGGCCTATGAGGAGTTCTCCCTGGAGGATCTCGCCTCTATCCCCGGATACATTGACCAGTTTTTGGCTTAGGTGCCCTTGGAGGGACAAAAGAGTGGAGCGTTTTGGGCAGTATAATCATGAAGCGGACATTGTGAAATTTTTTGAAAATAGTTCGGACTATATATTGAAGCGCCCAAAGACAGACTAATCATGATACCCTTTGCACATATTCCCGTTTTGTTGGACTTTACTCTTTACATGTTTTGAAGCACTTTACCCATTGTTAATATTTTAAATCTTCCTGTCCTGTTATAAATAAATGTTTACATGTTTGAAAGCACTTTAGCTATTGTTAATATTTTAAATATGCCAGTTATGTTATAAATAAATGTTTAGATATTTAAAACACTTACTGCTTGATCCTTCCCCTGAATCTGTGTCTGGGATAACGGCTGGGGAGGGTTGGTAGGGGATCTCTGTGAGGGTGATGAAGAGCTCCTGGCTGTCGGGCAAATCAGCGTTGTAAGCGCTGTCGACTGCCTCGTCCTCCTCATCTCCTTCCTCCTCTTCCCCGTCCGCTGAGGAACCGGCCGCGGACAA